TTCACATATTAATATTAATATAGTCATTATGTGCACATATGGTCATGACGTTCACATATAGTCATACACAGTAAAATAACCTTCGACAAGATGAAGTTGGCCTAATATGATGCATTTTCCCGAAATCAAGTCAGTTATAATATAACAAGATCTCTCGCTGTTATGATCTTTCAATAATATGGACTTCATGTGACTGTACATCGGATAATTTTCTGGGGATTGTCGAAAACGTGACTTTGCCGCCCACCCTCAATATCAGCTGATAAATGGCGCTCCCCTAAGTATGAATGTATTAACATTCCTAACATACATATTTGGAAATTAAAACGCGTCTAATCGATATATATCCACAAAATTATTCCTCTTTTCGCTTACGTCAACTTCGCAATAATAAAAATGTCCATACACAAGTATTTTAATCGTAAACATACCGAGTGGAGTATAACCGGGTTTTTAAATGAGAGTAACGAAGAGCCGTTCCGGGTAAAGATAGGATTGTATCTAAAAAGCCTTCGGACAATTAAAATGGAAGGAGGCAGGAAAAGGCATTGCTTCTCCTCGATAAATATAGAAAGGCGAGTAAAAAATATTTTTCTTATTGAATGTAGATATAGTAAGTTGCGTGGCAGGAACCTTCATGCTTCCTTGTCATTCAAGCCTTTATGCCGAGCAACAAAACCAGTACTGGGGCACAGGTGACCTTTATGCTCGCCTGATGTTTCAAGCCTTTATGCCGAGCCAGTGCAGGACCCATTAAAGCACAGTCAACCTTTATGCTTAGCTGATGTTTGGATGGGATGGAAATCAGATGGGATTTTGCGTATTAGTTGGTAATATTGTTAATTGAATATTTACATTGCTAGGAACCTAAACCCGACCAAGAATTAGCAAGGAAGTGGGAGAATGAACGTTCGCGTAAGCAGATCTACCTCCACCAACCAACTATAAATGGTACTGTAGGTGGTACGATAAATGGTGCTGGGACAGTTGGAACTATAAACGGAACTGGAACTATCAGCGGAGGGACTTTTGGTGTTGAATCATTCGCATCAAAGAAAAGAGATCAAGAGGTAGATATATTTTTGGTTGGGAAAGTGTAGATTGGCAGAATTAATTATTTATATTTTAATCCTTTAGGACTATCACGAGGAGTTGCAGAGAAAACAAGCAAGAATAGACGGTGAGAATCTTCAACCTATCTATAACGTTCAAATCCCTCCTCTACGCGTTGTCGCTCCTCCCCATCCACCACGAACACCTGAACATCAAATATTTTCTTCGAGTTCCATCATTTCTCCAACCACAAGAAGT